CTAGTCAACGACACATTGCGCCACCGCAAAGGATTTGAACCAGTGGGATGGTCCGTGTTTGCGAGGGGTCTGGCGCGAATGAATGTCCCGGAAAATCTAGTGCGTAATCCACAGAGGCAAAGTGCTATTCGAGAATTTAAAGCCAGGGTGAGAGACGAAACCCCTAACAGTCCTTCCCGTTGGCTACCTAGCCCACCTGTGACGGTTTCCTCCGTGAAAAAGCAGCGGCGAAGAAATGCGAGTCAGCGCCCTGAGGCTGTGCGCTGGTTACGGTTATAAAATCACCACAAGAGACATTATTATTATTATTGTAAATCATCTCTTTATTTTGTTCACTCAATAAAAGATGTTGAAAAGAAATTACAAGGTGTTTATTTATTGAACTTTGTGCTGTGCTTGTGCTCTTTGCTTGTTTACATCAGTGCTATATTTCGGAAGATTTATAGGAAAATGTTTTTCAATAAATTGCTTGACAAGACTATCCTTTTTACGTGTGTTATTAGAAAAACGATGCACAATTGTACTCATACTTATTTGCCGACTACGATATAAAGCAAAATACAAACAGTAATGTCCGCAGAGTTTGGAATTCGAATAGATGCTCTGTAATGTCACAGTATTAAAAATCCACTGGTTAGAATTGTTGTTTAAAAAGGTAGTAAATGTTTCTGAATATTTGCTGGGACCGGAGGTACTCCGTAAGAATCGAAAAATTCTCCTTCTTGCTCCTTGGTGAAGTAAAACGCCACCCAATGCGAACCTGGCTTGTCACTTGTATCCACATTGGCGATGTATAGGGCTGGGTATTGCGAAACACTTGCAGGCAGCTTGTCTGAGGGATACACGCCTTGAAACACACCTCGTGTAAATTTGTCCTTTCTCAAAATAAGGGTCAGTTGAATGGTGTCCATTTTTAGTTTGTGTAGTCGTAGAGGACGTTTCGGTTTGCGTCGACCTCAATCACGTTTTCAAATTCAGCGTAGACGATAAGGTTGACCGTGTTGGCGAGTGCTTCCGAGAAATGAAGCTCCAAGCGCAGGTTTCCTTGTTTTATAAGCTCAAAATGATCTCCCGGGTAGTGATCTGGGGGTCAAATCAAATGCGAATAAGGTGTAACCAGAGCCATAATCACTTCTTTTTATCTGATTGCCCGTATCCTGGGAAAGCCTTCTAATACCAGAGAAAAGACTTTGATAGCCGGCTATCACATTTTGACCACCAGCGGCGTCAACTTTCAGGAACAAAGGTTTTCGGGGAATTTGTTCTCCGTCCACGTACACACCCACTTGAGTTAACTTGTGGTGTTTGAAGTAGAAGGGGTTGGTACGATAACTCCCATTGTAAGCCTCTGTGTCCACTAATCCCAGTACTATGCGCTTAGGAATTTGACCCAAAAAGATGCTGTCAGGGTTAAAACTGCTAAATCCTCTTGGAATAGAGAGCACTTTACAGTCGATACTGCGAATGGGATACTTGGCGCTGGAGTGTTTTAGCCCAGCTGCATGGCCTAGAATGATAGAAGAGGCAACCTTGACTCTGCGTACAAACAAGATGGCTTCTGTGATAACCACTTTGAAATCAGCTGCGGCTGCTGAGGACGCAAGGCAAAACACATTCTTGGCTCGGTTCAGTTTGATTCTTAAATTAACTCCGTTGAGCATCAACCGGTCTTGAAAGAATATATCACTGTGAATGGGTCCCATCATATCCACCGTATGACTCTCTTTGGTAAACTCATAGCGAGCCTTTAATCCAGGGTTTGCTTCATCGTCTGCAGCCAAGGGGTTCACTACATTCATCTTTCCAGCAGTATCTTTGTAAAACATGGCCATAGAAAGTTGACTTGTTTTAGCTTCTTCCCCGTAGTTCAGCAAAGACTCGATCATGGCACGATAAAGGTAAGTATTAGTGGATGCAGATATAAGTCGCTCATTCAAGGAAACGTCTACTTGTGAAAACAGAGAATGTAAAAACAGGTTTACGGGACCCACTTGTGTATCGGCATCTAACGCGGTTCCGTTTGCTCTCGTGATCTTAGCTTTCACATAAAGTTGTGTTCGCGCTAAATCTAAATATTCTTCTCCGGTTCCAGATACGTTAAATTCAATAGGACCAGTGTCCGTCATGTTGCTGAGAGGGTGATATTCAATCCATTGCCCTTTGTGAATAGAGGTTTGTGTAGCAGGAATAGTAAAAAGATCGAGCTCTGATTTAGTACACTCGCGTGACTCGTGATGAACGAAGGCCATTCTATTCTTTGTCAAAAAATTCAGTCAAGTTCCCTTTTTTAGGTTTCTTCGCTTGCGGAGATGTCCTTGCTTTCTTGCCGGGAGGCAAACTGATTTTTGAGCCTTGTGCTTACCTTTTTATAGCTTTTTTGCCCACTCCTGATTGTCCCTGCGATGAATTCTGGGCAGGTAGACCGAGGGCTTGTTTAGCCTGTTTGCTGATTGCCTTTTTAATGTTATCTCCATCAAGAACATCTTGGGCGACATTGACACCCGTTTGTAAAGCTTTTCGTCCAGTCACCTTAGCACCTTGTTGCAGGTGAGGCATCGCCCAGCGGAACAGACCTTTAAATATCGAACCTAAGCCATACCCTCGCTGAAATCGGGCTCCATGAAATGCGGGTAAATTCCCACCTTTTTGTTTGGCCTGATCTACATAGTACTGTTCGTAAAGCTTATGATTTGGGGCGTGGAGTTTTTTCATTTTTTTAAAAGTACTGAGGTTGACTCTGACGAAAATGAAGTGTTAACAACACTCTTCCAAACTCAAATGGCACAGATTCCCCTGTGTCTCGCTTTATATTGACTTCGATGGTTTCAAATTGCTTTCTGCTGACAAGTACATAATGAGGGCGCACAAACGATTTACTGACTCGCTGACCATCCTCTCCTTCTACGGGAACAATTCGAAGCAAAGGGACCAGTGCATCGCCAACATATTGTGACTGAATAAGATCACAGTAAACGAAAAGATCGTGAAAGCCGTATTCCAAATCCACTTGTCTGTCCCCCTTGGTGGTCTTTGAAATAATTTGTTCGGGAGTGAACCCAGCATATAGGCCATATTATTTAGCGACACTTCTGCGTTGTTTTTCAAATGAACCGTAACCTTTCTGCTGAGATTATCGTATGAAAACCGTACATCATCTGTATACCGATTTTCATTGTCGACTAACCCTTTCATCCTTTGAAGGACATCCTCGACGGAAGAATAATGACCCGCAAGCATCTCCAGGGAGTCCCAAACACCGTGGAGTTTTTCATTTCGAACGTAAAATCGAAACTGTTGAATATTATTCCAGCTATGCGGATAATTGATCTCGGTCAAAGCCACTTCCCATTCGCCTGTAAGGTTTAGGGTTTGTGATTAACTAACTCGGTACTCTGTTAATGTGTTATGAGGAAATTTATCAAGACTGCTATTGCTAGGGAGATGCCGATAAAACTGTGTTACCTCCATCGTACCCTGTGTTGAAATGAACTTTTTAATCTGGGTATTCTTAATTTATTAGAAACCACACACCATTCATTTTATTATTTCCTTTTCTTTTATTCACTACACAAAAAACGCATAAATTACAACTTCAAAATATCACTTTCTTGAACCCAAGAATCAAATTTTGGGTCTTCGTATCCTTTCCATCTCACAAGGTACTCTACTACTCCTTTACGCTTTCTCTTCCGCAAAATCTTTTTGGCGCGGTACACATCATCGTTCTTAATACTTTTCTGCAATTCAGGCTCATAAAATGTTCCATCTAAGATTTCACCTGCATCATCTTTTAGTTTATAAACGGGTACTTGACGAGCCATTCGCTTGCAAATAGTAAAAATTTCTTCCGTAAAATTAGGTAGGAAGGATTTTTCAAACATTCTCTTTACTCTGTTAATCCTGACGCGATCTCCAACTTGAAATTTAAATCGCACAGGCTTTTGAACATCATCCCCATACAAAGTAAAAGTATCCCACACTTGAGCTTCATTCGTTTTAGTAACCTGAGTCGGTTTCATTTTAATACTTCGGTGGTAGGTGTTATTGTAAGAAGATACTAACTGGGGTAATACATTGACATAGGTGAGAGTGTTTTGGGCCGTGAAATATTTGTACATCTTATTCTTAAATGTTCGGTTAAAACGCTCAACCACTGAGGCTTTGAGCCCAAGGTTAACAGTAAAAAAGTCAATGTTGTTGTCACGCAGAAATTTCTGGAACACACGATTCAGGAACTCTGTTCCTTGATCCGTCTGCAGTTTGGTGGGTTTTTGACCAGTAGAAAGGATCTTTTGAAAGGCTTTGACCAATTCTTGACCTTGTTTTGTCTTCAAAGGTAACACAAACGCGTACTTGCTGAAGATATCTATACAAGTCAGTAAGTATTTATAACCCTTGTTGTAGCGACTGAGATTTTGAAGATCGACCAAATCCGCTTGAAATTGGGCATCTATTCCAGGAACGATGACTCGGCTTCTCTTGTAGCGTCTTCGCGCGGGATTGTGAAGAGTATAAACATCTTGCTGACTCCACCATTATCGGGTTTGTTTACGCGATATCTTGTTCTTTCCTTTCTCTTTGACTGCTCTGTAAACAGCATCTAAACCACCGAAACTTGCGGGTTGACTTGGGTCGAGATAAATGCTGGTCAGTGTTTTCTCCATCACAGAACTCGGAATTTTGTGCGGCCACTCTACCCCCACAACAGGCTAATACGCATCGAATGCGGCTAAAGATGTGTTCAAATCCAAAAGTGGACGAAGGAGGACAGCAACCCATCGCTGATGATCGCTATGAAAGTTCAAGCCCGAACGATTTCTTTCCTCTTGGTGTTTACTTATATAGCTACTCTCGAATCTGGGTGAGAGTGGGCACGAGAAAATTAAATAATAGTTTCCATTCCTCCTCGGTTAATTCTAGCTGATCCGCGAAGTTCAAAAATACCACCAATGGTCCCCAGTTTACTTTTGAAAAGACCTCAGAGGGAAGTTTTTTCAACTTTTCTAGACTCGAACCCGGCAGATCTTTAAATTTTTGTTGAAGCATTTCCATTTCACTTGAAGACACTTTCAATGTTTTGGCTTGTGCGCGATACAGAGAAAAGTCGACTCGAAGCAAAGACAGAGAAAGCCCCATCTTGACTAAGACAGAGACAAACACACACTGACTCAAAATTTAGACATAAACAAATTTTATTACTTTTAGAAACAAAGCTTATTTTGAATGTCATTAATTATCAAGTCAAGGTCCATTGGTTGTTCATCTTTCCTCACAACTCTCTCAGGGCATTGCACTTCAACTTGGCTGTCAATTTCCACAGCACTGGGATCTTTGCACTTCAGTCCACAAGGTTCGTAGTAAATAGCATACAGAATTCGATCTTCTAACTCACCATAATCTTCGAGTTCCAAGGAAGTGAGATAGATGCTAGTCCAAGGCAACTTTGATAATTCGGTCACGTACGCTTCCCACGTTTTGCCAAGTTTGAAACCAAGAGCACTGCACACACTTTCAGCCGTTTTTAAGATAACGTTAAGGTCAATTTGTTCCACCACTTCATCATGGTAATACATCCATACGTCATCATTATCCATCATGAGGCAAGAATGTTGGTTTTGACTTGGGTGTTGAATAGCACAACCGTGGCAGCGATTCAGCTTTTCTTCTTGAATGAGTTTGTCAACCGTAGCCGCATAAGTCAGTTGGAACACATCGCCGATAAGGCTAGCTACCCATTGACGTTGGAGTTTTTCCACTTCGTCAATCGTCAATAGAGGTGAAGCGCTCGATTCGACTTGCATGTTTGGAGCAATGTTTTAAAGAATACTGATGATAGTAAGACTTTTTTCTTAGCAAAGCGATTGCAAGAGTAATATGCTGAACGGAGAGCGCGCTTTTATTTTAAACACATAATAGATTGTTTACTATCGAATCAGGGTTAAAAGAGCCCGGGCAAGTTGGGGCCGGCCTATTGTTCCTATTGTAGTAGAGTGACGCTTATTAGTAAACCTATCCACTTCATTATATATGGAGGAAGAGACTTAATTAGTATGCAGGAAATCCAAATTAGTATGCGGGAAGGCAATGACTAGGCACTTAATTAATATGAAAGAACGCACTTTTTTCCCTAGGTTATAACAATGAGTGACGTCATAGACTCGACCCATATGCCTATTAATTAAGGGAACGCACACGGAACGCAAAGGGAACGCACCAAAGGAGGTTAAATTTGACCCTAGTAGACTACTGACCAACCTGGAGGACTTTTTAGTATAAATTTTTTCACTTCGTTTTTTCCCCGGAATGGACAAGTGCCCCGAAAAAAATCCTCCTCATAAAATTTTGAAATACCTGAGAGGGTGGGGTGGCATCCACCTTCCCGACCTCCCTTGTATACCTCGGGGACAAACTGAACCGGAACGGCGTCTTATTTACATATAATTACTAGCTACCCACCAGCAAAAAGAACCGTTTATTCTCGAAGTTTAAATGTTTTTTTGTTTAAATGTTTTGTTAATGCATCGGTCAGTTTGTAAAGGTGGTGAACCGTGTGTTTCTGAATTCTTAAAAACTAATAGAAATGCACGTGAACAAAATTCAGCAAATATTGTTCATATCTCAATCGATCTTTGTCTCCTTTGTCCCTTGATCAGCCGGTGGTGTCTGCTGTTTGTTGTCAGCGGTTTGTTTTCCTTCTCGCTCTGTTTCTTCTTTGATGACGTCATGTTTTGGCTGAGTAAGCCACCAGTTCCAGGCCCATGGTGACCAGTTATTATGCGCGGACGGCAGAGTACACCTGAAGATGTCATACATGTGTCATTTTTTCAAATAATTTCGATCAACTAAATTCAACTTTGCCTTCCAGAACTCGAGGTCGACCGTTCAATACAAATGCGCCTTATTACTACAACACATTTACAACTCACATATGAAAAATAATTAATAAATAATTATTGAATACAGCTTTCTTCTAACATGAAGAATTATGCAGATCCCTGAGGGTATAAGACGAGCCTTTCAACTCAAAACATCATTACAATACCTCCATGTAGACCTTAGCTTCTTCACAACATTGTCCACAGGTCATCAGCGTTAAAGAAAATGAACGGATTTTTTTTTCTTTAAGATATTTTTTGAAAAGCAGTTGACATCCAGTGAATGGTATTTTTGCGTATTCCTGTTCCCCTTATTTGCTGGTCTTTTGGCTCTTTCGTCTTCGCTTTCATTCTTTTTTGCTTTTGCACTGCCGGCTCACCTGCTAACCTGCTCCGCCACTGTCTTACCTAACGTCGTCATTCGTGGACAATTTTCTATATTCCATCATTGACGTTAGCGACTGACGTCAGTGCTGAAATAACTACAAACATCCCTCAGATTTGGTCATCTCAAGCGGGTTAGAGAAATGAAAAAGTTTGCCGGTAGAAATATTTTGAATAAATAAGTAACTGTTACTCAGAATAACATGGAGACGTGTGTGACCCAGCGGTTAACACCTCGCATTCCGCATCTGGAGGCCCGGGGTTCAAGCCTCGCCCGTCGCGTTGTTCCTTTATAGACAACGACTTTATCTCTCTTCCGGCGACATACGCTGGGGGGTAACCCTATGATGTAGTAGCATCTTGTCCAAGGGGCAGTAGCAATACTCCTAGGCATATTTCATGTTAAGGAATCGGGGCTAAGCTCTGGCCGTTTGGGCCTTTTTTACCTTACCTTTTTTCAGAATAACAAAAAGCTAACCCAGCTAAGTAAATGTGGACGACGCCATCCAGTAAGTTCTAATTCCCGGCTGGCAAACTTCCTAGTGTAAGACCTTTCTTAGATTCCCGGATTCATTCCAGAAAAAGACAATTCTAGAATTTGCTGGTCAAAAGAGATCGAAAAGACACTGTTAAACTATACCAGCACCACGAAAATACCTACCTATTTTAACCAACAACGGGGTCTCCTTTACGAAGGCGGTTTAAACGTCAAGTTTAACCAAAACTATACATTTTCCTTGCATCCGTATTATTGTTCTTTGTGTTTTGTTTTAAATCTAAGGGATACCTAAGGCAGTTATATGTTCAATTTTTATTTTCCGTTAAGTATTTAGAAAAGTTTAAAATAGTTCTTACCTAAAGGTACGGTAACAAGGGAAACGAAAACGTGCAACTTGTTTTGCAACATTGCTGGAAAACGAGTTGAAAAGCGAGGTTGCACGTTTTACCACTCACGTTCAAACCTGTCTTGCAACAAATAAAGTTTGCTGCAAGTTGCGTGAATACTGACTTCTGATTGGATAAAAGTACGCGGGAGTTCACGCCATACACGGGAGTTACGTCACTTGCTGCAAAACAATCAGGCCGGTAAAACGCGCAACATGTACAGGTTTTGTTGCAAAAAGTAGAACTACTCTCTACTTTCTGCAACAACTTTTCGGAACCTGCAACAACCTGATTTGCTGCGTGTGGGTAGTAAAACGCGCAACATCGCTTTTTAACTCTTTTTGATGCAATGCTGCAAAACAAGTTGCACGTTTTTGTTGCCCGTTTTACAGTACCTTTACCCACCAACGCGCGCGTTCTTAGGGCCTTCGTTATGAGTACCTTTTTCACGTTCGTGGGGCAGTAACCTGATGAAGCCCCTGAGATCCCCTAAAAACGTCTGCGTGGTAGGCTATTCTTACCTGTGAGGTGTTGTAGATTTTGTTGGAGTTAAAACGACCATTGTATCCATGAAATAAATGGGGCTTTTGTATATTGAATCTGCAGACGATTAGAAAGAAGGACTGATAAATATTTTTTTGTAACAACATCTAAAATGAATGACTAGGCTGCATGGACAGCTTTGACCAAAAAAAATGCAAGGCAGTGGCGGATCCAGACCGTCAGATAAAGGGGGGGGGGGGGGGGGGGGGNAAGATGTATAAATCAGTTAGTCAACATAACTATCTTTCCATTTTTCTCAAACTTTTGAGCTTTTTTCGCTGAAAACGCTTCGCGCTAAAAGAGAATCATGTTTGAAAATGGCGCCGATAATAACGTCAGCATCGGTTTTCAATCACTTAGAACTTTTTTAGTAAACTTTTACAGTCAAACCAAGTCAAGCGTACCCCCCAAGATTCTATCAGTGAATTGATTATTTGAAAAATGAATCCGTTAGTCGTTCCCGTAACTGGTGTCAAATTCAAAGCGGCATTTTTGCATGTGTAATGAGTAGTGAATATGTTACGAGAACTTCTCTGTATTTGGTCAGAGTGGAAATCTTTGAATGGATTAAGCTTGTTAGAAGACATTTACATCAATTTCAGGAAAATGGAGCTGGTAGAAATTTCATAACTGCCTCGCGTGTGAATTCACGGCTCATTACACATACAAGAATGCAGAGATCAATCTGAAATCTACAACTAGCAACGGATTCAACTTTTGAATAATAAATTCATTAATGCATTCTTGGGGGGAACGCTTGACCTGGTTTGACTGTAAAAAGTTTAGTAAACTAACAGGATGTTGGTAATACCCTTAACTTTCGATAGTGAAAGTAGCAACCTTAACTTTGAAGTATTTCGCTTAACTTTTGCAAATTTCACTCGTTTGACCGCTGTGAAACCCTGGGTCCCCCACCTCCATGTAAACAGGCCCTTAATTGATCCCGGGTTTCTGTGATGACGCGTGATTTGGAATGGTTTTTAATTGAGTGTCGTAAGTTAGCAACTGCTAAAACCAATCACGATGGATGCAAACAGTCAAGTAAACCAACCAATTAGAACACGAGTCAAATGTGTGTAGACGGTGTAAAGCATGGAAAAAAAGTTCGATTTAATGAAGAGTGGTGTCATTGTATATAGCCTGTTGTGAACTGGAGGTATCGTTCGGACGAGGTTAATGCGGGGGGATTCGGAACGGTTCCTCACGTAAGCCTTGACTGCAATTTAGTTCCAGTTCATTTTTGAATTCTTTATCGTCGTTTCTAACTCGTGTTTGTTGTTTCTACAGTTGTCCTTGAAGACGCGCGCTATGGACGTGGTTATGGGAGTGCAAAGCATGTACGAAACCATCCTACACAACTAAAACCCAGCGGCACCCAGTAAAGAGGTTCATTTGCTGAGAATTTCCGCACGTTTAAAAATAAATCGGCTAGAAATGTTCAAATAGAGTAAACTGAAATAAATACATTTGGCGTCAAAAGTTTCTAACTGTGTTGTGTTTTATACTTCGCGGTGTTTGGCGGGAAACGCCACCTGATGTGCATTAAAAAGCCAAGGATCTGAGGGCAACACGTCGATAGTTTCTCAATCTTTGCACTACGGTAACGAATACACTATTCACCTCAGTTTACAAAGTCTTTAATTAACACCACAATTTCTTTACAAAATAAACCTATCAGACGTCGATAAAGACACTTACTACTCAAAACAGTTACTTGTCTTCTAATTTATGATTTGCTTCTAAGACATTGATTGATTGTTGAGTCAAACTGAGCTATGGTCCTCCACTCCTGATCTTGAGTCCTCTAACTATCCTGCAGAAAGTTATGATTGCGCACATTTTATCCGTTATTTGTTCATACTTCTCCTAACTTCATCTCCACTTTTTCCCCAGTTGTAAGTACTACACGGCCTTCTTACCCTGTTTTTCTACTATATTGACTCCGATGAGACCAAAATTCATTACTCAGTTCTCTTTATTAACAGTAGAGACAGCTACTTAAAATATATAACCCTGCATTAAATGCACGCATTTTGGTGGGAATCTGTGCATGCCCTTCTCGTTAATAAAAAAAGAAAAATCACATTAAATATTGATGCGGGTTATTGCATCTCAAACACGCCCTATAAGATTTGGAGGACAAACTAGTGGTGGTGTAAATCGTTTTTGGCGAAAGTGTTTCTAAAAGACTTCCTAACGAGGTGTAAACATAGCCTTAGAATTTCCTTTCTTCTAGTCGGCCATCAACACGTACAGAGTATACAGCAAGGTGAACATCACAATCGCCTTTGAACCACAAAAGCTTCTCCCAGCTCCTTTGGGATATGGCGTCGTTGAGTATGCTGCTATCTCCCTATATGCTGCCATCCCCCTCCCCTTGACCACGCCCTTTACCATCCCATACAGCTCTTGCGTGGCGATGTTGATGATGGCAAGGGATTGGTCAGCAGTGGCTGGAGTCACAAGCCAGGGACCCGATGCTACCAACGGTCGACTTACGGAGTGCATACCGGGTGCCGAATAGACGTTTCCAACGTTTTCGACGTAGCTGATTTGGCGGTTTCCAGAGTCGAGAGAGTCGAGATCTAACACTACTATCTTGTCGCTGTAAATAAGACTGATGTAAGCAATAAAACTTCCCTTCTTTTCGACCTTCTCATAATAAACAAGGTCGCTCACGCCACCAGCGATATCTAATGTGGACTTCAAAATGGTAGCACTGTCCTTGCCAGGAATAACCAGCACATAAACTTTACTAGCAAGGAGCAGGTTCGTCGACTCGTTGACAGATTTGTAGAGTGCGACGATGTAGCGGCCATCGGGTGAAACATACGGTACCCCAGCGATGTTCCACTTACGAACAATTGTGTCATTGCTGAGGTTCATCTCCAACAATGCAACCTTCGTACTCGATCTATAGCAATCAAAGAAGGCGTGTTTGTTCATAGGGCTGTAAACGAAGTTCAGAGTTCCGGTGCAGTCGTAGTCAGAAACGTTAACAAAGGTCTTGTATGCCTTGGCTATGAGGTCGATTTGGTGCAGGCCTGGGTTGAACAAGTGAGTGATGTAACCAATTTTACCGTCTTTCACCTCTGGGTCAGCGAACATGTACCCGTGTGTCCAACCTAAGAACGTATACAGTTCGACAAGAGCTTTGTCAGCGTACAACTTGGGTAAAACAAAATTACGGAGGGATTTCTACGAAATGCTAACAAATTGAAGCTAACAAACACATCTGTAGCCGGTCTCAGGCCGCCAACAGAAAACATGCTGCCGGTTTTGCGAGCAGGAAAACATGCATGATCGTGCATCTTCAACTGTTGCCTTGCGCGGTGAGGCTAAACTCTTTCAATCTTAAGGTGCAATCCGCCGAGAAAAAGTTGAAATTTATGATACGTTAAGATAAGCTCAGAATCCGTTTTTCATTGGTTACACACAAAAAAAATGACGCCAACACTCAACCAACACTCTGTACTGACCTGGTTGCACATGCGCCTTGATAGCCTTGTGCGTCTTTTTCAGGCTTCCATCGGTGTTGATGACGTCAAAAGTAGAGCTGGTCCAGGCATGTACCCAGACCTCCTTCAGCCAATGTAAGTAGTACAAATCATACGGGTAGCCCTCTGTTGGGATTGTTTCCACGACCTTTGGAGGCAAAATGTTGATATTAATTGGCCATTTTACAGTTGTATACACAGTGTCCTGGCTTGTTTTCTCTCATCGTTTTTTTTTAAAGATCCTTGGGAGTTTTTAGACAAAGCGGGCCAATACACCTCTCGATCTTGCAAAGTTTTCAAACTTTCGAATCGAAACTGGGGTATTTACAATATGACAACCCAAAACCTTCGTCATCCATCTAAGATCGTCGCCAAGCGGACTGCCAAAAGCGAGTTTGATATTCATTCATTTATTTGACTTAATTAAATTCACTGGTACGTCCAAGATTATCTTGAGGCTGGATTGTCCCGTTCACTTTTACGCTTTTTTCAACTAAACTTTCTGGAAACAGCTGTATAATCGGTTTACGTCTATTTTACATGTATAGCTTCAGACCACGTCCACAATTATTTCGTAACGCGTGTAAACACGTTCAATGTTGTGGTCCACACTAGTTCGGGTGCTCGTTTACCAATCGTTACGCGACTGTTTACATGGTGGCAACAAAAGGCATGGTTAACTCCCAGATCAACCTCGTCCCCAGGGTATTCTCGACTCGTTTTTCGATATGGCCGCCGACATATTAGAAAACGAGAACACCCTGGGGATGAGGTTGCTAACAGATTTCTATTTTTCCCGAGTATGTGTTGTAACTGATGACGTCAGCAAACAGCAACGAAGTCATGAGGTGCGAGAATATAACCGTTAGGCTAATTTGGGGCCTTCCGGTTTCCACTTACAGTCAAACCAGGTCAAGCGTTCCCGTCGCTAACAAACTAATGAATTCATTAATGGAAAAATGATTTCGTTTGTTGATTCAATAAACCATTCATAAAATGAATAATCGAACAGTCAAATTGGACCTCGATTCAATTATCAAATGTTGATTTGGTTTATGAACAAAATCTACCTGTTCTTTATTCTTGTCTGTTGTGTTCAATCGTATTTGCTTCCTTTTCCCTGCCGTTTACGATTGCGTTTTTCATTGCCTTTAATCAAAATAACAGCTAGAATAGACAGACCGCAAACGCAAAGAAACAGACAATGGCCGAGGATCGAAATCCACCGCACATACACTGACCTCAGTTTGACCGTTGTGTTTTCTAAGAGGTCAGGCCTAGGTCTGTTGCACTGATTACTGGCAGCAAACTGGTGTACATGTAACAGTTTGTTTGGGTTTGAACTTCAGAACTCGCCAGCACTCGACTCTCGGGAAAAAAAGAGGAAAAAACAAAATTCTGAGATCAACTTGTGGAAAGTGTAGTTTTTCAAAAAACAGTAATCGAATCAACTTTCGATTATGGAATCGAGGCTAAATATGACTATTGGATTGTTCATTTTATGAATGGATTATTGAATCAACAAACGAAATCATTTTTCCGTGAATGAATTCATTAGTTCGTTAGCGACGGGAACGCTTGACCTGGTTTGACTGTAAGACGGAAAACATGAACGGAGAGTTATTTGTTAATGAACTCATCATCTGCGACCTTAGTACAGAGTTACAAATTGGAGAAAGCTATTTACCTTTTGCTCCTGCGCATCAATAACATGAACCCGATTCCCAGGCATGTCGCTGAAGAGGATGAGTTTGTCTCTCACCACTGTATTGCGACCGAACGAACAGTTATCCCTAGTAAAATACAGAAGATATCACAATTTCTATTGCATTCTCAAACTCATTAATAAGTCAAAAAGAAAATACAAAGGAAATTAAAATTTAATGAGTGTTTGGAAATCAGATGAAAAACTGCTCATTTTTGCATCCTTGATCTCTCCTTGTAAAATCATTTTCAGTGTTTGAGAAGTAAAATCAAGCATTGCGACACAATGTTTCATCACCAGATGAAACACCTCGAAGTTCGTCAAAAATACTCCGCTGCACCTGCGCGTCGTATTTTCAACTCTCTTCTCAGTCTTTCAGTCTTGTCTCATCTGGTGATGAAACACTTTCTCTCATGCTAGATATATATTTACATCAAGGCAAGGAATGTGAAAATTTTCGGCAAATATTATTGTTTAGGCATGCTCACCTGGAATACCTGTTATTTGATTTGGTACAAACCCCATCAGGACCGATTGTAGACAAAATAGCTTTGCTCTTTGGATCTACGATGTAGATGTCCTCTGATCCAAACACGTAGAAGACAACACGTTGATCATTTTGCTTCGGAGTAGCATTACCAACCCTACAAGAAACTAAACACAAAACAAAGACATTAAAAAAGCTAAACGATAGCTTCGCTAGATAAACATTTTTTCTTATTCTCCTGGCCCTCCTCTTTTTTCTTCTTTTCTGCTTTCTCCTACTTCTTCATCCCACGATGTTGCCAAAACTGGAGAAGAGAGGAAGGGGAACTGGGAACGATCCCTAAGAACGGGAACTAGGTAAAATGGGAAAAAACCTAACCATATCCCATTTTTCATTTTTCCTGTTGCCCGTGCTCATTCCCCTTTCCCCACCGGCTGTCCGTTCCCCAGTTTCAGGTAACATCTTGAGTCCTAGCCTGGCAAGAAAGCTCTGTACAGTAGCCTGAGAAAACAGCCGATATTGCTGGTTTGCCCGTGACGTCACGACGGCCATGTTGGTGGTCAAGAACAAAAGCATTACTCTCCTCTGGGAACTAAACTCTATTTTCATGGAAATTCTTTGAGAAAAAACTCTATTGTATTGACCCTCAATATAGCCGCCTTGCCACGTGGTTGCAAACCAAGAATTTCGCGACACCACAAATAAATTTCCGGCGAAATGACGTCTGAGGAACGGGCGCAGAATTTCCATACTTGTGACGTGTCACTATCCAGGTCAGGGTAGTGCTTCGGATTGGCCACCATTACCAGTAGGAAACTTAAGCAATGGTGACGGTGATGCGGCGACGGCAAAGAGAACGGCGAAAAAGCAATAGGTTTAGATAGGCAAAACAACAAGCCTGCATGTGTGTCACGCTTTTAAGTACTTTCTTTTTGCCGTCCATCGTTGCACGACTACGACGTGAAACCTCCTCGGTTTCAAGTTTTATGATGGAGGACGTTGACGCAAGACAGCGATTTTCTCTTTCTTTTTCCGAACTTAGATACAGTTCTTTAGAATAAACTCCAGAAGAATTTCCCAGCATTAAAAAACTTGTATGAAATGGAACAAGAATAATGAAGTTTAAAACAGCGCGAACTCGCTTTCTAAGGGCCCTGTTTAGATGGGGATGGGGGACCCCAGGTAGGTGAGGTAACCCGCTTTGGTGGGGTAAACCGCCTGTCCATATAATCTCTCATTTTAATCGATCATATTTACATGATAGGTGGGGTGGGTGACCCACCACATGTTATCTCACCTATCTGGGGTCCCCCACCTCCTTGTAAACGGCTTTAAGTGACGTTTTCGCTGCCGTTGCCGTTGTGGTTGCTTGTAAGCTCCCTGTCGCCTGGTCCCTGCACGGCGTCTTCCCAGGCCTTCTCGGTCAATGCAAGCCAAAACAAACTCGTGACGACCATGTGACTCAAAACGCATTGGCCGTGCGGAATCATTAGGCCTATGTTATCTAGTGCTTCCAGGGACTAGGCAACGTCTGTCCTAAATTTGGGATTATCACGTTACCTATGATGCAATTTGTTTTTCCCGGTCGCCTCGGTGAAGTACCGGAGGCGATTGCTTACAAGTGCTTTAAATTTAACTGATTTGACTTTCATTGAGTAAAAAAGGACGAAAATGAAATATCATGGGGAAGTCGTTGCATACGAAGCAACTTAGACGACAGGCACGTCCCGGGGGGGGGGGGGGGCGCCGCTCGGTTTTTTTTTCGCGCGCGCCCCCCCCCCCCCCCCGCCGAGCTTTTTTCCCTTGAAAGTTTTCTCCACTTGGAAAATTACGCCTTTTTTCAGTGATTAACCAGTTTACTTTGGGGCATTTCATCGATCATCAGGAAACGGATGTTATAACTAAGAGTGATCATGGAATGCAAACTTTACATGGTAAAAAGTCTGGCCGAGACGGCGGTGGTGGCGCGCGAGAAACAAAAGCTGAGACGTGCCCCCCCCCCCCCCCNAACAGGCGTAATTTTCCAAGTGGAGACAACTGTAGACAAATCGGGATACAGGATACCCAGGGAGGACAATGATGACTAAGTCAAGTTTTACCGGAAGAATATAAACGTGACAAAATAATTTGAGGGAAAGAGCATGTTAAAAAGATAAACAATACAGAAAAATAAAAGATAGCAACATAAATGGCTGTCCTTCACGCATGCAGTCTAAAAAATATCGCGCAAGCTGGTTTAAAAGTTCAGTTTGCGTGATCTAAACCAGATCTGTGAAAAATGTTGCAATCATTTGAAAATATAAATGCTTGGATTTGGAAACTCTTCATCGTTTGCAGTAATATCCGCGTCTTTCTGTCACTTGGGTCATGCAGTAGCTAGCCGTGGGTAATCTTAGCGATTGGCAAGAGAGAATGAGATCATTCTCTCTTGCGATTGGGAAACGTATAGTCAAGGAAAATCACCGAAATTATATTCCTTAGAGAAACACTATCCTATTGCAAACCGAAGTATCCCCAACACACCCCTTTGCTTAAATTAAACGTTCTAATTCTTGGCTAAATTGGAAAAAATGCAGCCAGATACATATATCTGCTCAGCGTCAATGACTTACCAGACAAAGTGACTGTGAGGGTTAGGAGCCAAGCTGAAACACAATGCATTGCTTGGGGGTTTCTTTAGCTTTATCTGCAGTAAATTTTGCTTCCTCGTATGAAACTGTGTGCGCGACGCGATCAGTTAATTGTTACCGAGTTCGGGGTCAAGTGAAAGAGGAAATGACAGTATATATATTGTGCCCAGGCCTCCATCTCCTAAAGTAAAAATAATAACTATTCTCGTCCCCAGCTAGCGCCGGTTGTTTCGTTTGGCCTAGTGACATAATAACGAGATAGATAATTAAAAGCGACTTGCGGTTTCCCGATTTCATATTTAGGACGGACAAGCTCAAAATTCTTTAAAATCTTACGGAAAAAAGGACGGGCTGTGGTGTCCACGGCTCACCCGTAAATCGTGCGGGCGTCACCACCGAGGGGGTACTCCCTATAATCCCATATGGGGAGGCTCCGCTCGAAAGCGTTACCTTTTTGAGGCCACAGGTACATGAATTACAAGTTGCAGTGTATATAAAAGGCTGGGGAAATGTCTCATTTCAGTCTGTAAAAAGGTACAAAAGGGCTAACAGATGCATTTCATGGCTGTGAAAAAAGTCGAGAAAACGTTCGAGCTTTGTGCTTTATTCATATTTAAAAGACAGTGCATTTACAGCTGTTAAAAGGGATGCAAAGTTCTAAATTAGGTAGGTGAAAGGGGTACCATTTGTCATGCAATAGAAGGTATACGAAAGAGGGACCTTTTCTGTCAAAAATGGTATATAAAAGAGTAATTAGGCCCAGTTCAGACGTCGTGCTTCTGCCGTGCCGAACTTAATTGTAATTTGGTTCGACTGTGGCACGGCAGGAAAACAACTTTGATTCAGACGTCGTGCCAGAGTCGAACCAAATTCAGGATTTACTGATGCCTCGTAACAATTCTTCTCCCAACTCCCCGTGGGAACGCCATAATCGCCAAAATACACTAATATAATTTATGAATTTTGTTTATCGCGGCAGAAGCACGACGTTTGAATCGCTGCCGTGCCAGAGCCGTATAGCACGGCAGCACTTGTCGAACAATTCAAAAGTTTGATTCAGACGCCGTGCTTCTGCCTTGCATGCTTTTGTCGAACTTAATTCCTGAATTTAGTTCGGCACGGAAGAAGTAAGACGTCTGAACTGGGCCTAAGGGTTTGTCAAAGAGAATGCTCACTGACTTGTCGGCACACAACCACAATCACTGAATATGACGGTCTTTGAAGTTCCCTAACAGTTTTCGTGGTTCAGCAGATGTAGCAGAATGTGAACAGAGATTCCTTCTGATTGACTTATTCTAGCTTATTTTAAAAAAGTCTCCCTTGCAGCCGTTTTTGTCTCGTCACGCAACGTTGCGTGACGAGACAAAAACGGTTGCGAGGGAGAAGTATTCATATTTCATTGATTGATACTCAGAGAATATTAGCCGCTGGTTTTCCTCTTTCACGGAGGATAATTAATTTATTTTCCAACCAGCAATTGCTGGTAATAAGTTTATACGTTATGAAAAGTACACCACATTACAGGGTGAAACAAGTAAATACACTACATTCTAATGTTGAACCTAAGCGTGTAACCGCAATATGAAACCAAACTGTTCTCGTTACTAGCTACAATTGGCGAGAAAATTAATGAGGCACCGTCCTCATTTAGGGTAACTTCGGAGAACAAAACAATCCACAGTCCTCCCCTTCCGCACCATTGAAGTTTGTGATGTTTCACATTGTTCCCGACAGGTAGCTCGAAATGAGGTACGACATTGCACGAGGAAGTGTGGGAGGGAATGATTATTTTCACCTTTTGAAGCTGGTAAAGCGTCAGAAAGGATTTTCAACGGAAAAAGGCTCAACTAATTTTGTCACCGATTGTAGCTCTGGCCAAAGCAGCCCTCTATTTTCCCAAGGTTTGCATATTTTGCCCTTCAATGTAGCAGTCAGTTTAAAACGGTAAAGAAGTTAATATGTTTCTGAATTCTTTGACTGAAGATCCTAATAAGAATGCAAGTGAACAAAAATTCAGCAAATATAGTTGGCATCTCAATCGCTCTTTATTGTCTCCTTTGTCTCTTGATCAGCTGGAGCCTGCTGTTTGTTGTCAGCGGTCTGGTTTTCTTTTCGCTCTTTTTCTTCTTTAATGACGTCATGGTCTGGCTGCGTAAGCCACCAGTTCCAGGCCCATGGTGACCAGTTATTATGCGCGGACGGCAGAGTACACCTGAAAATGTCATACATGATCATACACGCGTCATGTTTGCAAATAGCTTAGTTAAATTGCCATTCAGATTCGTTTCGAGGGTTAGTTCTCTCATTTGCCTCCCAGAACGAGGTCAACCCTCTTGTAAAGAGGGCTAGCACGTTGTGAAGATAATAACCAGGGGAGAAATCATTGAAGAAATGATTACATTAATCCATGAATCTAAGTAGCGAGAAGAAATATATTCTGTAGTACTGGGATAGGTTTAAGGTGAAAAAGAAACTGGCCTGTTCTGAAAAGATCGAAAGGACACTGATGCTATACCCGCGCCACAACCTAATAAGTAGCTAATTAACAACTGAGGTTTCAACGTCATGTTTGTTTACCAAACAATACATTTTCCTCAGTACATCTTTTAATATTATTGGAGTTTGTGTTTTGCCTTGAGCCAAAATACCCAAGGCAGGGTTTTCAGTTTAGCGTTTAGAAAAGTAAGTAAAATAATTCTTACCTGTGAGGTGTGGCAGTTTTTGTTGGAGTTGAAATGACCATTGTATCCATGAAATAAATGGGGCTCTTATATATTGAATCTACAGACGATAACAAAGTAAGACTGATAAATATTTATTTGTGGCAATGTCCTTTAAAGGGCTTAGACAATAAACGGAATTAATATGGAAGGTGTCAATTATTTCCACTGTAATAAAGCCAATAGAGAATTATATAAAATCTGCTAACATCCTTTTAACAACACACTTTGTCATTTTAAAATTACGTAAGATTCACCCTTGTTTTAATTTTGTGTGTGTGGTTTTGTAATTGATGTACACTGCCCGATCGAGTGCTTGCTAAAAAGTGGTTGTCAAAGATTTAACTTTAATACTTACCATTTGATACTATGTATGTACCAGAAAATATGGAATAAAATATTTAGATTTAACTCAAGCAACAAACTTGTATCAAAGTTTAATTATCGTTCAAAATCGATACTTCATGACCCAAATCAGTGTAAACGACTGATTTATAGAGACAAAATGTGCGTTTGTATATGTTTTAAACTAGTTGTTTCAATAGCGGTTTTAAAGTTTGAGGCAAGTAGTTCACGTTACAGAAACTTAAATTTAATTTCTTACCAACTTACTTTCTTCAATCAAAGCAAACAATGCTTTATTCACTTAAATATCTCACCTGCCGCTGCGATGACTGACTAAAATAGCTTTCCCAAGTCGATAAACGGCAATTTTTTTCAGAGTTGTGTGCTGTTGGCTTCGAAACAAAGCAGTTTTCAAAGCGTTGTTTATCCAACCTCTTTTATATCAGGGTGAATCCACCTGCGTAAAAATCCCGCTTGTTAGTAAACAATGTACATAACTTAAGCAAATCAAGAAAGATCTGTCGTCCAATCACAATCGCTATTCTTCAACTGGAAAGAATTTTTTCTTCCTTATCAAAGCCAAGCTTATAAGACTATTTTCACACTATAACGAATACAGCTTCTATTTCACATATAAAAACCGTGTTTTCGGCGCGATTTCTGTAACGGATCGAACGCTGTGCCGAGCGGATATCTAAAGTGGAGAGCAGGGCGGATAAAGGTTGGGCGGTGAAACGAGCGCTCCGCTCTTCATTTAATGTGTGATGCGGAGTAGGACTGGCACGAGCGCTCTTTCCGCGCTTCCGATGCGCTTGAAGGCCGGCGAAATTTTCCTTTTTGCAAACCGGAAATCCTATTTTCTTTCTCTAATTTCAGGCTACAATGTTAAATAGATAAATTCGTTTCATAACAGTATCAATAAACAGTTTCATATGTTTTTGTCTGTACGTCTATAAGTCAAACTTGTTGGTCGTATAATGCCAAAATTTGAGTTTAATTTGAAAGTGTTGAATACCTCCTCCTTCCACTAAATATCACTTAATCGTCTTTCGCCGTTTCGTTTGCAAAAGCTTAACACTTCTTAACCTCAATTTTTACATATGTTAAAGGGGGATAAATTTTATATAACATAACAAAAAATTAGATTGATATATATTGATATAGTGGCGTTGTACTTCTTCAAACTTTGCTTCTCGGGTGCAACGCGCCATGGCGATTCGCGCAATGCGTTGCAAATCCGGCAACCGCATGTAAACAAAATTTATTGAGGTTAGTTGTAAGGTTTTTTCTCCGTTTTTCTCTCTAAAACAAAACAAGGTAAACAGTAAAAACTGAGGGGAAACTAATTTTGAAGTTTCGAAGAAACAGAAAGACGTATGAGATGTTTTTTTCAAAATTAAAAAGAAGGATGATGGTGATTGAAATTAGCATAATTTCACCTTGCACGAGCTGCACGCATTTATAAAATACACGTCATCTAGTTATGAAACACGATCTGCTGTCTTTTAGTTTTGCCATGGATGACATGGATGAGATTTTCCTTCGTGTTTTAGACAGTACTTAGTTGTTTTTGTTTTGGAATAACATCGACATTGGCGAGTAGCAGAACGAAAATATAATTCAGTGGTAGAGTCATGGAAGTAATAAAAGAAACCCTTTGAAAGAGATGTTTGTCTCCTCTAACTAAACCTCCCGCAATAAATAGCAACATTTGCCTCTCGGAGACAGCGTACCAGCACAAAGGAACGAGGAAGAAGTGCAAGAAAACAAATCAAGCTGCCATAATTCAGTGACAGCGGCAGTGTCTAATGTACAAACCATACAAACCACATCGCCATCCCTGACCGAAGTCGAAAACAAGCGACATTTCTAAGCATAGTCCCAGTCCACTGCATCACACCTTTTTGCTCGGACGCGCTCGTTTCACCGCCCAACCTTTATCCGCCCTGGTGGAGAGTCACATACTAGCGGGTAGACCGGATAGCTGTGCGAGTCTGCACGAAAAGCTTTCCGGTATCAGACCCGCACCCAGTCGCTATTTATGTGTTTTTGGGATGAGTGAACGGATTGAGGTTACAGTGAGGCGCGCGGGAACTCATGGGAAGAGTTTCCGCGTGCCTCTACAACCTAACCCCAATCTTCTCTCACCCAAAAAACACTTAACTAGCGACTGGGTACGAGTCTGATCTGGAGCCTAAGTTTTCCCTGATGAGAGGATTTTCATGATTCCATGTCATTTCTAATATGAATCGCTAGCTAGTATATAAAAAGCGAAGAGGGACAAATGGTTTACTGATTTAATGAGTAAACAAAAACAAAATGTTTTCGTAAAAACGTATAATTTGTTTTCACAATTTGCAGGTAGAAACGCAAACAAAATCTGTACCGTGTGAAACTAAATTATATTATTCTTAATTTTTATAATGAAAAGGAACTATAATATTAAATTTTTATTCAATATTTGTTTATTTGTTTTTTAGTCACTTGCATTACATAACAATATAGCGTTAATGTGACAAGGAAGCCTTAAGAAACTGGGAGCTTATATTAATCGGCTTCCTTAAGCTAGATTACTAATTACTTACTTGAGTACAAAGTTTGAAGAAAACTCAAAACTTAAGCGTCAGAACGACTATCGATGAGATAATTTTTCAGATTTTTTGTAAAAAAAAAAGGCAAACATGGAAGAAGAGCTGGTTATCTAATACTATAGGCAATAACAGGCAACACATCGTAAGTTGGTCATTTAACTGGGGAGATCACATATGTACGTATTTTTTCAACTAGGCAACAGAGATGACAAATGGCTTAACTCAGTCGATGTACCGAGTTCAGCGACGTACAAGGGTAAAAAAACCCGCGTGCTTTTGCTGTTGTAATGCCACGACTAGCCTTTGACTACTTTATTACTTTATGGCTCTACACTGATTCCTTTACAACTTCATAAATATACTATAGTCAGCTGTATAGCACTTCATTTTACGGTACAAGCTTACTTGTTCTTAAAGCTGAAGACACTGAGCGGTCTTTCGACAAGAGTGCACGTATATTTTTTTTAAAGAAAATTTCAAACTTTACTCCAAATAATATTTAACTTGTTTTATTTTGCTTACAGTCTGGCCATGAAAGCTCGGTAGTATGCTTAGTGGTATTCCTACAGTAATAGACCACTCACAAGAGTGGCAGAGCATTTACTGGCATAAAATTATGGCCTGAACGCTCGTTTTTACATTACATTATTTAGTCACATCGTGGCTCAAAGGCATTGTAATAGTACCGTATCGACTCTCTTCTCCGCAGAAGCTCCGGCCGAGTATCCCAATAAAAAAAACAAAAATCAAAGAAGAAGAAGCAAGCGCGCGGGGGACGATGGAAAGAGGGAAAGACTCAGAACACTCAAAATCCCTTAAATCTTCGCCTGGTTCCGCCATTAACAGAGAACCGCAAATCCTGCCACAGAGTTATATGGCAGAGGCCTCTGTAGTCTCTTTCCCCTTCCCGTCGTGGCCCGAGCGCTTTCTTTTTCCCTCTCCCCAGCCTCCCGACGACACAAAGAGGCCTCTACGGAGTTGGGAGAGAGCCGTATCGAGTTATGTTTGCCCAGCGAATGTTACAGGTGATGTATAGGAGCGATTCGGGTGTTGAACAAGCAAATCAAAGTCAATACTCTTGGTATTCAAAATATGCACACAAAATGCAGTGGCTACAATCGAAGACTGCATGTAACCAGCATGAAAAGGAACGAAAGACTATTTTCGTATTCTCGATAATAAACTGGGGCGTGTTTTCAATAGAGCGTTTTCACTCATGTGGCCAGCATCTACGCAAATTTCTCGGAAAAAGAGAAAGCTTTTACATAAGAATAAAGTTCAACCCCACAGGATTGGTTTGGAACACCAACATGGCCGCCATTTCATTGTTTTGAAACACCAATATGGCCGCCGTGACGTCATGTGAATACGCTAGCCTCGACTAAAAGCTGGTCCCTAGTTTGTTAAGGGGAATACGAACATGACTTATTGGCTCTCTGATTGGTTGAGAAAAATGGCAGGAAGGTCACTACAAAGCTAGATTGATTGATTCGACATACTGCCTGAAAGCCGCTCTATTGAAAACGTTTTTTTAATGTGGATGTTTTAACTAGTTATCTGACTGGACAAACGCATTTATTTCTACAAAAAGCTCTTTCTCAAAATGGCCAGTTTCAAAGTTAGGAAAATTCCTTGATTTCAAATTGTTTAAGACCACTTCGCGCCTCATTCAGCCGTAAGGTAGGCCAGAATCATTCTGTCCCCACTAAAGCTCAAGCGGCTATGTTGAGCGGTCAAGTTATCCAACACTAACACATCTCTTTTTCGCCAAGGAAATCCAACCGCATTGCGCCAACCGGTTGCCCGGATGTGTTGAATCACTTCTGGTTCTATCTCGCTTCCGTCACCATAAAGGGTGTGCGTTGGATACATGTGGTCTGGAAGCGTGACACCGTCTAACATGGGTGACTCCTTGTAGTATGTATTATGGTGTACATTAGGTTGATTGAACCAAATTTTTTGGCCCGTGGTTGGATGAGTCATCAGTGGCGGAAGTGAATACCAGTAAGACAAATTCCCGGTGTCCTTCTCCCATTCATAGCTGAAATTTTGTCGCTCCAGGAATTCTTCCACTTTCTGCAAAACAGGTAAGAAGCATTTTTTCACAAAGTTGCACAGGAAAGCAAGGACTTTTCGTTCGCTCTTAAATTACCTTTTAACCTTAAGTTAATCAAACTCGTTCCCAAGAATTCTTTCCTTAGATTCTGTGGGCACCAACCTCAGTAGATCTCGAACATGTCAGGGCTGAATAATGTACTGCGCATGTCCGTGACGTCACTGTTTACCACCTTAAAATCGCCAAAATGTGAGGATGTTTAGAAAATCCTTTTGCAAACGATCTTTGCTTAGACCCCAGACCTCTCCTGCCTCCGCACATGCACAGACGTTGCTCAGCTCTGTCCTCGAACAGTACAGCAATTGGCCGCTTAGGACTGGATCGGTGATGAATTGAATTATGGGCCGATTTTTGTCCCAGTGTCTTGCGCAACTTGGTAATAACCAGCAAAAGAAGAGCAAAGCAGTCCCATAGTGCAATCGGACTCGACACCGACCAAGATTCACCTACAACGTCCAAATTAACATGTGGAATCCTTTCCATTTTTCAGGCTTTTTAACAGTAATTTAAGGCTACTTTCACACTTTACCGGATAGCCGACACGGATAGCCGACACGCTGGTACAGTATGAACAGCAACGGCACTGAACTGGAAAAAGTCGTTCACGCACATCGAACTTTGCGCAACACTTTGTGATGGAGCGGTTGGCCGAAAGGGCTTGGTGACCTAAATCCCAGTCCTCACTCCTGAACATTCATTTACGTC